ACTTTCATATGTGGATGCATTTCTAATTTGTTTTTCATAAGAAAATCGATAATTCCAACAACCTCTCTCTCGATTAAAATAAACTGACATAAGTAAGTCAAAGCCAGCACCAAAAGTTGGACCACATGTACTATAGCTATAAATTGCATATTTTGGATCTTTTACACGACTTAAAATAGAATTTTGAATGGTCCCATTTTTTAATGAAAATATAAAACTGTCTTTGCAATACTTGTAGCTATTCATATCATCATCTGGTGGTTTATCCCAACCAATGGGATTATAACCACCAAGAATTTCATCAGTACCTTCAACTTTCATAACTACAACAAGATTAGTTTGCTTATTACATAATTTCCAAAATGAATCAGCAGTAAAACTATCTCTAGTTCCACGAAGAAGTAATTTAAACTCATATGGATTATTCGTTACTGAATATGAATTATATTTTTTATCAACCCATGAAGCAATTTCCGCAGCATGTGCTTCATTGATTACCAATGAAAATGGTTCTGCATTTCTATTTGGTAATTTCGGTAATAAAATTGTGCGAGATGGAAGAATTTCTGAAGATATTAGTTGATTTGGAGTCGTGAATTTCTTCATAATATCATTCCAAAGTTCTTTTTCAAGAATTTGATGATAAGGTTGTATGTTATTAAAAATATCATTATTAGACATTTGAAAATAACGGATATGTGACAAACAATTTTGTAATTTAGTCTTTAAAGCTAAAAAATTTTCACAAGACCAGTCATCAAGATCTGATGGTAAGTCAGGACTTTGATTAATTCCCCATTCAATAACACGGTTCCAAATTTTTACCTCTTTCATTTGTAAATCATCCCGACTAATAAGTGAGACTAATGCATTTTCATGAAGCGATGTGAAGTCTTCTGAATCAAAAATTTTATCAGGGTACTTCACCAAAATATTATTGCACCATTTTTGTAATTCTTTAAGCTTATTATTCTGAAAACTTTTTTGATAGATACGAGAAAAATTTAAACGAAGCCAATGAGCTTCCTTTTCAATTAAATGATTTTCAAGATACTTGGCTAATTCTTCAAAAAGAAATTTACAAGCAATGAGCATAAGCTCAAAAATAAATGATGCCTTATGATTTTCGAATAAAATCACTCCTCCATAGATATATCTTTATATACAGTAAAAGTATTTTTTCAGATTATTTTTTTTTCTTCACAACATAACATAGGCTATAAATTCAAACATAAAATAACTTACTTGATAATAATTTCAAATTCTTGGATAGAAACATTTTTTAAATCAAGTGTTCTAATATTATCCCTATCTTTACCGACATTTGTCAATTCATTATGAAAATATAAAGATCTATATCTTAAAATTGCTGCATGTGCTTGAAATATTTTAGTATTTTGAGATTCGCTAACTTTAATGATTACATCGTAATCTTCTTTATCATCAAGAAGCGAAAGGTAGTTATTTGAAAGGTTTTCAAAGAATTTTATTGCCATTTGGAATAGGTATAAAATCTTTAATTATTAATTGCATTTAAACAAAAAAACTCCGACATTTCGTGTAACGTTTGGTAGTGCAACATGGATAGAATCACTTTGATTCATGAATGCATTCTGTGCCACTTTAATGGAGCACTTAAAGATAGGGATGTTAAAAGTTCGGTTCCAAGTCAGACTTGGAACTCGACTCGCATTTATGTGTATCTTATACATTTAAATATAGCCAAGGAAAGTGTGTATTCATGAATATTTTTTTCATGTGTATATGTCGCATCTAAAGTAGCGAAGTATCTGAAGTTGCTACTTTATATATCTGAAGTAGCGTCCTGGCTAAAATTATATGCATGGAGATCTAATTTCAGGGGCCTAATTTTAGCTAGATGCTACTTTAGATAAATCGCTGCTTTAGATGTTTCTTTTAGTGCTATATTTAAATATACAGGTTGCACGGAACCGAAATTTAATAAAGACTTGACTCCAAAGAGTCGAGTCTAACTGAATCGAACTTTTAACATCCCTACTTAAAGATCACTGAATAAGTAATCATCAGGTGACCGAATCGAAGCGACGATCCTGACCCGATCCGAGGTCACACGAAAGTGACAAAAATGTCACTTATGTTACTTACGTCGTTTCTGCGACTTCGCCTACATATGAGTTAAACAAGATATTGGTGTTTTATTAGATTTAGTTAGGATATAGAGTATAAGAAATATATTGCGTTTATGAGAGAAATTAACTGCAAATGTAAACAAAACGTTTATTATAAATAAAGGGCATTTTTGCCTTGGGAGGAAAATAATTCCCGCATTCCTAACAACAAAATTCCCTAATAACAATAAATTCCCTAATTACAATAAATACCCGACCCCTAATACAAGTGAAAATCTACCCTATACAAACTAATAAACCATCGCTAAATCCCGTTGTTATCCCTATCGTTCAGCAAATAACACCACTAAACTCGCCATTGACCGCTCGTCGCAAGTCACGTGATCGAACCGTTAACGTAATAGAGGAAGTTCCAACCCCGATTCGACGAAGAGTAATCCCGGGTTGAGGCATACAAGAGAAGACAAGAGAAGATAAAGGTTAATAGAAGAATCGGTTGAAGGAACAGACTTGAGAAAGAAGACTAGTACTTACCTACAGATAAACCACCAGCCAAATCTAACACGCCTATTTCGACTTAGCCGCCGTAGGTTACGCGAGAGTTGGATTGGTTTAGCGACAGACTCGCCGAATCCAGAATCACACTAGCATTAGCAAACTAGCATTAGCAAAATCGACCTAAACTATAAAATCACCTACCCTAACACTAACCCTAACTTAGGCAGAATGATTTACCATGTGATGTGATTATCACGAAGATATCATTGAGTTCAGTGATCATTAATCTATGCATTTTAATATGTTTTTTTTTTAGCCAGCTGATTAAGCACCATCGACTAATGATGTACCCAAACAATTGAACATCCCAACCATGTAATAATTAGTACATACAGCATTAGTTTCGGCCTTTTTTATTATAATTGACAAAACTACCGTACAGCGTGGACTAAAATACCCAATATACTTCACAATTTAAGCTGTATATATGGGTATTATAGTCGGAGGGATACTATGGGGGTATAAGTTACATTATATGAGTACTGCAGTAATATTATATATACTAAGTGCAATTAATCCATCTTTAGTACCCGGGTATTTTACATTCACAAGTGCAATTAATCCGTCCTTAGTACCCAGGTTACTTTACATTCTAGGCCTCCGAAAATCGTGAGGGGTATTATATACGGTATATGATACTAATTTATCACATGGTTTGGGACGTCACAAATAGGTTGGATTATATCACTACTCTAACTAAAGCATTAGCTAAGCAGCTAACAATTTACTTGAACAAACATTTCAGAATTCTTTTTTTTTAAAAAAAATCTTTTATAGTTTATGTTCATTAATTTTCTTTATAGAATTTATCCAGCTTATAACATTACAGTATACAATAAGTAAACGCAAAATTCAAGCTAGCATGCAAATCTATACTAAAATTTTGACGGAATTACGGATATTAGTATATAACGCTGGTTAAGTATGTACGTATGGATTTTAAAATAAGTATTTTACACGTCCATACCATATTGGTTAGTAAAAATCCACATTTTGACAATGCCTGTCACGAATGCTTGTCCGCCTTCCATATTTATCATTAGTGGTACCTACGAATAAATACCATAGGATAGTAATTTACCAATTAATAAGATCGATTGAAATTTTAATTTACAAAACTTTGAGTATAATATACTGATTTGTTCTTTCCTGGTTTTTAGTTTAACTGTGTTGCACAGATAACTATCTTACTATTTATTATTATCGTTATCGATTTATTATTTTGGGCTGATTTGCATTGTTATTATTACCATTATTGTCATGTTCATTATACTGTATGCATGCATGTGCAATTTTCCAATTTAAACTTATCATTTGTAAACAAGTTTCTTACCTGTTATCAGCTCTGATCATATATGAACACAGTTTTGATAATAAAAAAAAAAGAAGCTTGCTTTATAATCAATGGCAAAAAAAAAGTAATACGAGATGGACGAATTCACCGGTTCATTTGCCAAAATTCTTTATTTAAGTACCTAAAGCGATGTAATTACGTAGAATTAAAACTTGTTTGAGATTAAATTAAAACAATTATTATGGTAAAATTGTTCGATATTTTTACTAGTACCTCAAGATAAGTTTAGACTTTTTGTTATCTATAGTTTTCTTTTTTTTTATGTTGCCAAAATTAGGTTTCTAAAGATAAACCGATTTATCGAACGGCATAATTCAAATGTTATATTAATTATTCAAACAAAATTTTGATTACAAGTAATTAAATCGAACCATCTTGTTAACTGTCAGGCAATTATGATCATGAGTGGACAGATAGATATCACCTATACGTCGCGCAACAGTAATTAAATGAAAATTTTTAATATTGTCAACCATTACAGGAAAATTTACATCGTAGTCTATATTTAAAGGCACCACAATAACAGTAGACGGCGTAAGAACCAATAGTTTAGATATAATTCTAGATTTATTGATTGGCCACAATCGATTAAACCTTTTTAGCAATAGGATAATTGGATTTTATTTATTTACAGCGTACTAAAATTATTGCATTACGATGATTCGTGTTATTTCTAATTTTTACACTCAAAAATAAAAAAAATAAAAAATTATTATCATGCCAAGTTTAAATTAATGTATTTTATATTGGGTTCCTGAATATTTATTATTGAACATGTTAAATAGTTAAATTATCCGATATATTATAGTAGTTATGACGTGAAATTTAAACTTTGAATAAGTCGTTAATTGTGTTAAAAAAAAACACAAGTTCTGCATATTTAAAAACTATTTTATAAAGATTTATATTAAAACTTATAAAATCTCTATTATCCTGATCGATTCTGATATTTCACTTGTGCTTGTTTTTAGTAGCTGTTATTTGTGATCGCTGCTGTCATTATCACTTTGAACTTTCAAAATAATGTCCGTTTCACTTGCTACTTTTGAAACTTCCTTTTCTTCTTCCTCCTTGCTATCAACGATATAAGGTAAAAAAGGTAAACCTGGTGAAGTTACTTGTGAAACTTGTTGAATGATGCTACTTTGATTATGACCATTATGACTTTGTTCACCATCACCAACACCACCACTTTTACCACCAGTATCGCCATAATCACTATGGATGACATCTTCTCTTGGTTTACTCGTTCGTTCAACACTGTTATAATTTGTATATCCTTTTCCATCACCATTGTGAGAATCATCATAATAATTACTATCGCTTTTGTGCCTACGGCGTTTATTCACTACCCTTCTAATTATACATACTACTAGTGTAATGACAACAATTCCAGCCACACATGAAGCCGTAATAATTAAAGGCTTAAGACCATCTAATGATACTAATGGTTCTTCAGATTTAGAACCAGCGCTAGGAGAACTAGCATGTGAAGTAAGAGTAATAACCGCCATACTTGAGATATCTGGTTGAGTCTGAGATTGAGCTTTGACTATGTTAATGCATATTTGATTAACAATAGTTAATAATTACCCAATTTCAAAAGCATTTAAAAATTTTAGTCGAAATAAGCATAAAACTTACTTTGTAGTATTAATGTCAAAACTATCACACTTATAATTAAAAGTTCATAAAATCTAATTTTTAAATTTTGATCCATTTTCTTTAGTATTTCTGTCGTATAAATTATTTAATAATTAGATTAAACTTGTGAAGAAAAATTGATGAAATTAAATGTTTATTAAAAAGGTGCATAAACATTTAAATGTGTAAAATACGAATTATCTGTTATATATATATTATTACTAGATCTGTTTACGTACATACGTACGTACCTTTTTGGAACTAAAATTAGGTTTGTGTTTTATTATCAAAAAAGGATTCTCATTTAGAAATTTAAGCAAAGAATGAAGATCTTTTACATGGTTAAAATAAATAATACATTTTATACGTCATAATTCATTTTTACAATGCGTATTTGCTAAGAATCGTTTGGAAATGTATCATTTAGACAAATGGTTTAATTAAATGATACTACAGAAATATTTCTATTAAATTTGTCTTTAAATTCTTGCTTCTGCATGCACACTAATGATCCCTGACGAAACATTTTGGTCTGACGAAATAGTTTCGTCAATGGTTTCGGCAAATGAAACTTGACGATTTGACAAAACTACTGATGAATTAATTTGACCAATGAAATGTAAATTTGCAGCTGTCAAACTTTCAACAAAACCTTCTATTACGCCCTTCGCATATTTTGAATCTTAAAAAATTTCAAAAATACTGTTATTTCATCACGTCGGTCCTTCCTTCGTCAGACCTGTCGGATACATACGGGTGAGTAATGCAAATCATCGGATAATGTCGGATAAAGATTTTAAATGACGTACATCAATTTTAAGCCAATGAATTTTGCTGCACCTCCAAAATCCATGCTATTGCCGATCTCATTGGCCAAAAATTAAGGATGTACGCGGGATTATTTGAGGTTTAAATTTAATCATCCGTAAATGCATAGAAATTCCAAGATGAATCAGATGCGAAATTGACAAATCACTTGACTTGCAATAAGCAAGACTTTTAGTTACACTCCGTTCCAGGTATAGAAAACTTGTACAATATTCGTATGTTGCAAAACAATAATACAGAAGAACAGTAGAAATTCATACACATATCACTGGTTTAAAAGCTACGTTAGCGAATGAAGAGATTTTATTTTTTAAATCAATAATTAAAGAACTTTTATCATATAATAGCCCAGAACAATTTTTGGTCACGCAACGTCTAATTTACAATTTATTTTTCGCATAAGCATTTAAACCAGGGTTCTGCAAACACGACATGTATGCCTTGCCCAACCAAAAATCTAGACATGAAATGATCATGAACATGAGCATAAAAATTTGGCATGGTCACAGGCATGGGTACAAGAACTTGCCATGGTCAAAAACAATGGTTTGACAATTATTTATTTTTCTATTTCTCATTTTTTGCGACGGCTAAATTAGTCTCCTAGAGATAAAAACCAATTTGCTGAACGATTTAATCGGACTTTTATTAATTATTCGAATAAAATTTGATTCAAGCAATTAAACTAAACCATCTTGTTATCTGTCATGCAATTGATGATCAGGTGTATATATCATTGATATATATTGTTTATGCAACATATATAGTAATCTATATTTAAGGCACTATAATGATAGTAGGATTGGTGTAATAAATAATAGCTTAGATATCATTTTAGATTATTGATCGGTTACACACCTTTCCGGGGTTCATATTTTTTTACTGAGTCACAGATTAGCAATAGGAAAATCAAATTCTAAATATTTACAGTGATTCAGAATTGACAATCAGGTTCTTGAATAAATTATTAATTCTTTTTTTTATTTCAAACAAAAGTAGGGAGTTTTAAGTCCCACTAATTCTCTAAGTGAATTAATTCTGAATAACTGTCCTGTACTATATAATAGTAATAACAGAAAACTTGAGCGTTTAAACCTATTTTTTGAAGTTTTTTATTAAATCTTTATGATTTAAAACTCTACTAACCTGATCAATCCCCGACATTTCGCTTGTGCCTGTTTTTAGTAGTTGTTATTCATGATCGTTGTTGTCATTATCACTTTGAACTTTCAAAATAGCAACCGTCTCGCTTGCCACTTTTAATATTCATTATTATTTTTTCCTTGTTATCAACGATATAAAAGATAAAAGGTAGATCTGGGGAAGAAACTTGTAAGGTTGGTTGAGTGATGCTACTTTGATTGTGACAATTATGACTTGATCACTATCACAAATATCATCACTTTTATCATATATTAGATTAAAAGTAGTTAATAATGGTCGCGACTGATACTGAAATTTGGGGTCCCGATTTGAAAATATTAAAATCCACATATACAGTTTAATTATCAATTCTAGCCCAAAATCTTAACCAAACACTAAATAAAATATGCAAAAATTTAATACTCAAAAGTTTAAAATTTTGTATAAATTTCAGCATAAACTGTGACAATAATTAAATGATTTCAAGAACATATAAAAAATTCAGTTAATATGAGCATAAACTTATCTTGTATCATGCATGCCAAGATTATCAGTTATTAAAGTTTATGAAATCTGATTTGTAAATTTTGATCAATTTTTTTTTAATTTTTCTATCGTATAATTAATATAGATATATTTAACAATTAAATTGAACGCGCAGAGAAAAATTGATTGAATTAGTACATAGACATTTAAATGTTAATATATTAATCCATCTCTATAGTTCCTTCTATATAATAACACTTCCTTTATAAGTATTTTTTTTTGAAATATTCATAAAAGTTGAATGGGAAAAATCACAGGCGTTAAAAACTTTTAGAATTAACTTGTCACCTTACCGTTACATAATACAGGATGAATTTTCCAATCACAAGTATAAATTTGCCCATGCATTTGGAATGAATCTATTAATAAAATGCACATTCTAAAATACCATAAATTGAAAATTTCATAAGTTCATTATATAATACGAAGTCGTTCCAATAATAAAATCAAATTCTTCAAGGATTAGCAAAATCAAAATAAGAGCTTATTTGTGAGACACATATAAGAAAAATATATAGTGTATGTCCATAATATTTACATTAAAATGCATTTCTATATTAGAAAAATCATTGAGAAACGCGTTGAGCTCATTTTATTGTATGCGGTTTTAAATTCTGCAAAGTTGCTTTGTAAATTTTATATAAATACAGCTTATGGTTTGATATTTCCATCATATTTTTGTCTTATTAAAAAAAAGAAAAAGGTCTATAAATTGCATAATTATATAAGTAAAAATAAATGACGGCTTATTTCGTTAATAAAGTATACATACTTATACTTGTTTTTGGAATCATTGGAGTGCTGGCAACGATCCATCCTAATGAAATTGCAAACAACCGCTTTAACATGAGAAATTTGCTAAAAAGAGACTACACTACAGTAGTCACAACATATGTTACAACATCAATGTATACCACATCCTCTTTACACACATCTTGCTCAATGGTGCAATGTCAAGGTTGTACAGTGAAGTCATGTCCAAATAAGCGACAAGATAGGTGTTCTGCATGTTCAACGAATACTGTACCATACACTACATACACCGTACTTACTAAAGTCGATACTTTGGTAATCTGGGTGCCCTCAACACCAACACTGCCACCAGAACCTACAGCACCATCACCAGAACATACAACATATACACTACCGCCACAAGAACCTACAACACCGTCATCAGAACATACAACATATACACCACCGGCACAAGAACCTATAGCACCGTCATCAGAACATACAACATATACACCACCGGCACAAGAACCTATAGCACCGTCATCAGAACATACAACGTATACACCATCGCCACCAGAACCTACACCACCGTCATCAGAACATACAACATATACACCACTGTCGGCGTCGTCAGAACATACAACATATACACCACCATCGGCGTTACCATCACTTACACCAGAATCAACACCACCATCACCTACAACAGGATCATCACCAACACCATCGACAGTATTGTCAATAGTACAATCGACAGAATTATCGGCAACGCAATTGACAGAATTATCAACAGCACAATTGACATTTCTACTGTCGACACCATCGACTGCCTTATTGTTAACACAGTCTACTGATTTAACACCAACATCAAGTGAAGCTAGGTAATTTTTTTCTTAACCAAAATATTTCATATGAAAGGTACAATATTAATATATATTAATATTTTTTTTTTAATATCAAGCTCTAGTTCAGCAATTGCAACTACTACCAAAGCAGTTACAGCAGCAGCAGCAAATTCCTTATACGATGAATTAACTACTTTCAATCTCGCAATTGGGTTAATTAGTTTTACTTTTATTATTAATCAATTTATTTAAAGTGTCTTAAAAGGCATATCTTATTATAATTTATTGTGACAACTGATTAATATGATTAATTTTTATTAGAAATATTTTATACATATTTATATCTTAATAAACATTTATTTACTGGATTATCATTATCTTTTTTTTTACATCACCTTATGTCTGATACGAATTACGGCGCATTTGTAAACTACCCCAAATTTTGAAAACGTTTGACTACTAGTGAGTCAATTTAATTTGACTTTACGTATACATATCAGTATTAGCTAGGGTTATTATGATAATTGTGAAATATATCCTGATTTAAGTATGATATACTACTGCATCCCGAATCTGATGTCTAACCCATCCTTTCACCATTCAACCATATCCTCTAATTCCACAAATGCGCCGTAATAGTGAATGTAAAGTGCATTTTTTGGCCAAAGATTTAATATAAATATATAATTTTCATAAAATTTGCTTTTCCATGTTCACTAAAAAATAATAGCATAATCGCACAATTAGACAACAGTCAAGTCATTGTTAAGTGATTACAGAGGCGTCAGAGGTCTACAAATAAAGTTAGAACAAGCACAGGAGGGGTATTATCGCAAGGATCACCTGATTCATGATTATTAAAGTTTCTAGACCCAGTGATGATCAAATGAAAAATAAGTCCACCAATAATACAGACAGAACCATAAAAATTCATGTACGTATCGGTATCACTAGTTTAAAAGCTATGTTAGCGAATGGTGGGTTTTATTTTTAAATCAATAACCAAAGAAATTGTAACATATAATAGCCTAGAACAATTCCTTTGATCACGCAGCGTCTAATTTGTATATTTTTTTCGTTAAAGCATTTAAACCAGAATTCTTAAACCCGCATATGGCTTGTCCAACCAAAAATCTAGACATGCATGGGTATGAAAACTCAGGCATGTGTATGAACATGAACATAAAAATTTGGCGTGGTCACAGGCATTGTACAAAAACTTGGTATGGGATCAAAAACAAAGTTTTGGCAATTATTTATTATTTTAGCCGATTTAGCATTGTTATTATTACCGTTATTGTCATGTTCATTAATACTAGATATTTAAGTTCAACAGCTCATTTTCCAAATTCTTTATTTAGATATCTAAAAAGAGGCAATTAAAATTATTCATATAACTAGTTTGAGATTAATTTAGCACAATTATTTTTATGGTCAGATTACTCATCCGAAATTTTTACTAGTACCTCAAGTTTAGGCTTTTGTTTTCTGTTTTTTTTTTTTCTTTTTTGTGTCGGCAAAATTAGTCTCCTAGAGGTAAAACGATTTACCGAATGACTTAATCTGAATTTTATTACTTATTCGAATAAAATTTTGATTTTAAGCAATTAATCTAAACCATTTTGTTAACTGTCATGTAATTGATGATCATGAATGGATAGGTGATTATTGGATTTGTCATTTGATATCGAGATATATTCATAGAAAATTTACACACATTAATAGTAGATATCATTTTTAGATTTATTGATTGGTTACACCTTTCCAGAGTTTACACTTTTTCAGATTAGCAATAGAAAAATCAAAATTTAAGTACTAAGATTATTGATTCAGAATTGATAATCAGATTCTTGATTTTTATTTCAAACAAACAAAAGTAGAGAGTTTTAAGTCTCACACATTCTCTAAATAAATTAATTCTGAATAGCTTTTATTGATTAGGTCAACATAATTAAACCTATTTCTTAAAGTTTTATATTAAAACTTATGATCTAAAACTTATTATTTAAAACTCTATTATCATGATCAATCCCTGACATTTCGCTTGTGCTTGTTTGTTTTTAGTTGTTGTTCATGATCGCTGCTGTCATTATCACTTTGAACTTTCAAATAGCAACCGTTTTGTTTGCCATTATTTTTTTTTCCTTCTTATCCACGATAAAGGTAAAGATAAACTTGGTGAAGTAACACGTAGGCTTTTGTTGAGTAGTGTTACCTTGATTGTGACCATTATGACCTTGTTCACTATCACATATATCATAACTTTTATTATATATTTGATTAGAAGTAGCTAATAATAGTCATGATTGATAGCAGAAAAGTAACATCTAAAAGTTTAAAAATTTATATAAACTGTGATAATAATTAACGATCATATAAAAAATTCCGTTAATATAATCATGAACTTATCTTGTATCATGAATGCCAAAATTATCATATTTATTAAAGTTTATGAAATCTAATTTTTAATTTTTGACCCATTTCTTTACTTTTTCTATCGTATAATTAATATAGATACGTATATTTAACAATTATATTGAACCCGCAGAGAAAAATTGATTGGTTAGATGTTTATTAAAAGTGCATAGACATTTAAATGTTAATATATTAATCCATCTCTGCAGTTCCTTCCTATATAATTACACCCTCTTTATAAGTACATTTTTTGAAATGTTCATAAAAATTTGAATGGAAAAAAAACACGGACATTAAAAAATTTTGCCATCTTACTGTTACATAATGCAGGATGAATTTTCCAATCACAAGTATAAATTTACTCATACATTTGGAATGAATCTATTAAAGTATAAACTTTTAAAATGCAAATTCTAAAACACCATAAATTGCAAAATTCACAAGTTCATTATATAATAAGAAGTCTTTCCAATAATAAAATCAAATTCTTCAAAGATCAGCAGTATCAAAAGAAGGGCTTATTTGTAAGAAAATATCTAGCAGATGTCCATAATATTTATGTCGCACCTGGCTAAAATTAAGCCCGGAAATTAGATCTTCATGCATGCATTAGAGTTTAATTTTAGCCAGGGTGCTACTTTAGATAAATCGCTACTTCAGATGCGGCCTTTACATCCAAATGTATTCCTATATTGGAAAATCATTGAGAAACCCGTTGAGCTCATCTTATAGTATGCGGTTTCAAAAACTGCAAAATTGGCTTGTAAATTTTATATAAATGCAGCTTATGATTTGATATTTGCATCATCTTTTTGTCATATTTAAAAAAAAGGTATAAAATTGCATAATTAAATAAATAAAAATAAATGATGGCTTATTTCGTTAATAAGGTATACATACTCATACTTGTTTTTGGAATCATTGGAGCGGTGGCAACGATTCATCCTAATGAAGTTGCAAACAACCGCTCTGAAATGAGAAATTTGCAAAAAAGAGACTACATTACAGTAATCACAACATATGTTACAACGTCAACATATATCACTTCCTCTGTATACACATCTTGCACGGTGGACACTGCGTGGGTATCCAATACAACGTATACTAACAAAACGACTAATAACCAAACGAATAATAACCCAACGAATAATAACCAAACGAATAATAACCAAACGAATAATAACCCAACGAATCATAACTCAACGAATAATACTCCAACGAATAATACTCCAACGAATAATAATTCAACGAATAATAACCCAACGAATCATAACTCAACGAATAATAATCCAACGAATCATAACTCAACGAATAAAAATCCAAAGAAAAATAACTCACCGAATAATAACATAGCGAATAGTCTAGCGAAACGACAACAGGGTTCTCCTTTTTATCATTGTTCATCGTATACTGTACCATATACAACATACACCGCACTTACTAAAGTAGATACATTGGTAATCTGGGTGCCATCAACGCCAACACTGCCACCAGTTACAACATATACTCTGCCACTAGTTACAACATATACTCTGCCACCACCACCACTTACAACAGAAACATCACCAACACCATCGACAGAATTGTCAACAGTACTGTCAACAGAATTATCGACAGTACTGTCGACAGAATTATCGACAGCACAATCGACAGTTCTCCTGTCAACACCATCGACTGCTTTATTGTTAGCACAAACTACTGGTTTACCGACAACATCAAGTGAAGCTAGGTAAGTTTTTTCTTAATCAAAATATTTCATATAAAAGGTCAATATTCATTTATATTAATTTTTATTTTAAATATCAAGCTCTAGTCCGGCAATTGCAACTACCACTAAGTTAGCAGCAGCAAATTCCTTATACAATGAATTAACTACCTTCAATCTCGCAATTTGGTTAATTAGTTTTACTTTTATTATTAATCAATTTATTTAAAGTGTCTTAAAGAGGCATATCTTATTCTAACTTATTGTGATGACTTATTAGTATAATTAATTTTTATTATCAATATTTTATACATATATATAATATATTTTATATTTTAACTAACAATTACTTACTGGATTGTCATATCTTTGTTAACATCTCATTTTCAAAACATTAATGCCTTTATTATTAGCTGTAGGTATACATGGGTGTCTAAATTATTTTTTAAAAAAAGCAATATCGACAAATATTTTGACATTGCTAGTTTTTTATATGAATTACACAAAGTAACCATACCATCTAATGTATTTGACATAAAAATTCAAATAATTTCACTAAAAATTTCGACAAATATGAAAATTAATTTCGCCACTAAGAAAACTTAATTTCGACTGACTAAATGTCGAAATAATTTTTTATTTTAAGGAGTAATTTAGACACCCATATATAGCTGTAGGGATTACTTATGCATGTACCTGGCTCTTGTCAGTTCGTATTTTATAGCTATTTATTTTGCCAAATCAGTGATGTAATGATGTTTATAAAAAATGAATAAATATTGATAGAAGATTCAATCTGTATACGCAGTCGTGATTAAAAGTTTGTGAAATTTAATTTTTAAATTTTTCTATCTTATAATTAATATAGATGTATAGATAAAATCAGATTGAACTTGCAAAGTTGATGAAATCAAATGTTTATTAAAATGTGCATAAACATTTAAATGTTATTATGATTATAGAATTTTTTTCTTCCTGTTATTTTTTGTACGTTATTACGTAAGCACAACAATCTCAAATCAAAACTCAGTTAGCCAACCACGACTCACGAACCCAGCATGACCACCAAGATCAGTTACGTAAGGAGTTTTAACGATTAATATACAGGTTTCTGTATTATTAATACGTAAATAATTTGAAAAAAGAAACTATGATTTTCTTTTCTTTTTAGCATATCTAAATGTAAAAGAAATTTTTTTTGCATACATCAATAAAAAGATCTGTATTAAACGGTTA